ATGCAGGGCCGTCTTAAATTCTGTCCCACAGCTTGGGTTTTCCCATTGTTTCTCATCCTGACAAAGGATGAGAGTCTCTGGAAGTGACTGAAGAGGACTCGGTTCTAAAGGTCACTTGAGACTGATTACATTAAGGACTTAGAAGGGACCACAATCATTTTAACTGCGGGGACGTGGGAGGGAGCTCCTCCATTATTCAGGCACACCCACAGGAAGAGTGCTTAGAGTTTGCCAGAGCTTGCTTGGGTTACTAAATCCTCATTGCTTCTACCAGAAAACAGGCTTCCCCTGAAAAGAATGCAGCATCATTAATTCGGTAGCTCTGCAAGTGCGTGAATCTGCTTAGCCTCTCCCCTGTACTTCAGGAGAGGCTGGGGTGTCTTTCCACTCTGCTTCTCTGGTCACCCAATGGTCTTCTAATGGTGGTGTGTCCTCTTAGATTTCTAGGCCAAGGTGCAAAATGTTACACACGGCCTTATCTCTGAATGTGGATATTCTCACTTTTTAGGTTTTGAAGAGGCTTCCCGGTTTGGGGAAGCTCTTTTCTTTTTTTTCATTTTCAAATGAGCCTGGTGGTCCTAAAGACAGCTGGATTCTCCTCTTAGGCTGTCTTTTCTACATCTGGTGTCCCACATGAGGCAGAAAGAGAGAGCTTGCTATCAGCCAGGCGAGAAGAAAACATGGGCAGTTAGCAACTGGATCTCGTTTGCTGTGTGATGGGACACATGTGTTGGAGTGTCCAAAGGTCTTCGCACATTTAAGGATGAACTTTAAGAATGCGTTGTCCAAGACACCAATGAAAGAAGAAAAGAATCCTTGTGGCTATTGCTGGGTGAGTCTATCTCCAAGGACAGCGTGGATTAGCCCAAGGGACAGTGAGACGTTCAGAAGGGGCCTTCACAGAGTACTGCTACAACATTTGGTGCCATCTCTTCTTCTGTGGGATTTAATAGTGCAAGGTCGATGGAGCTTAGTATTCTGAATGACAAATACGAAATTACTATTTTTATGAATGTATCCTAAAAGGATCACTTTGAATGTGCTATACAGAACTCGCCACCTTGGATTTAGACTGTAATGCTCTGTCAAGTTTTACTTTCTGCTTCTCATTCATGTGTTTCCCCTGCCTACTCTCTCACCGTTCTGTATTCCGACATCCCCTGGCTGTCCTCCCCTATTGGCAGTCCCGGGTTCTGCTTCTAGGTGTGTGGACACAGAACCATGGACCAGGGACTCTCAGTGGGGCTGTTGTGAGCTTCATCAGCAGGTCCCGAGGCAAGCATCGGCCAGGACTTTGAAGAATAAACTAATCCAAGGTGCAGCGTAACCTCTTAGTTCCCACACATTCTAATTGCCATTCTTTCTCAGATTTGGGGGTTGCCCCCCAGTTTAAAATACTTTAAAAGTTTTATTGCCTACATCCTCATTGTCTGGCAGCTTACAATGGGTCAGATTCCTTGAGATATAATCTTTGCTATGAAGATAAAATACTACCAAGTAAAGAGGTCTGTCTGCTTCTGTAAACATGCCTAGGTGACTAAACAAAGTTAAACAGTGAAAATGGAGTCTTAAAAAGGTTTACTTTTATTATTTTAAATTGTGCGTGCATTTGTGCGTGTGTGTGTGTGCATGCTTATGTGTGTGCATGTGTGTGTGCACGTGCATGAGTGCGTGAACACATATGTGTTTGTGTGTGTGTGTGCATCCGTGTGTGTACATATATATGTAGGTAAAGGCATATGAGTGCAGGTGTCCGAGGGTCCAGAGTTCTCCTCCTGGAATTACAGGAGGTGGTGAGTTGCCCTGTGCGGATGCTTGGAACCTAACGTGGGTCCCTCCAGGAACACTCTGTGCTTTTAAGTGCTGAATCATCTCTATGGTACCAGAACATAAGATTCTTACGCAAAGACAACAGCACACTTACTGACAGAGAAAGAAAACACAGGAGTCCAACAAAGGTGTGGTCCAAAAGTCTAACCACTTTTTCTTTCTCCCTTTCTTTTTGTGATGCTAGGGATTGAGCCCAAGGTCTTGTGTGTGCAGTGTGAAAAGTTATCGTTTGATTGACATCGTCATTCCCTACAAGCCTAAATAATTTTCCCCAAACAGGCTTTTCAAATCCTAAGCACAGTTCGCATCTTAGGTTTCTCATCTTTATCTCTGGCATTTAGGTCTGTAGGATTCCACACATTTAGGGGGAAGACTGTCCTAAGAACTTTCCTACTGCAAGAGGACTTTTCTCCAAAGCACTGGTTCTCAACGTGTTGGCTTTGATCCTTCCCCTCATGAACATATGAAAATAACCTGGAGACACCTGTGGTGGTCCAGAGTGGTTTGTGGCTATTGATGTCTAGTGGACACACTTTCCTCTTTCCACTCTTCTGTTTTCAAAAGAATGGCTACGTCACCGCAGTATCAAGAAGGCCGAGGTTGTAAAACCACCCACCAGATGTTTTCTGGGCCCTGCTGTACAACTTGCTGGTTCTGCAGGGGGGAATGTGTTCCTGAGACTTGACTGCAAACAGCAGGTGTGATACCCTGGATGAAACCAGCTAGGCTGGTTAGACCTGCTGGGTGTCTGGGTGTCTGCTAGACACTGGGTTTCCAATGGGAGGTGGAGACTGTTAGTCAAAGAGTGAGACTGGGTCAAATCTATTAAAAGAGACCCGGGCTGTGAGTCAGCCTTAGAGTCATTTCAATAGGAAAGCCTCAGTCATTGTTTCTTCATAGATTAATTAATGTATCAAGAAAGGGCCAGAATAAGCAAGCAAGCAAACAAACAAATAAATAAATGCTGCGTATCAATGGTGGTGTTGGAGGAATCATTGCACTCTTAAATGAAACTATTCCCCACATTATCAGCTAGAGGGCTTCACGGACTGTAGATCCTAGAACGTCTCTTACCATGAAGAAGAATCGTGTTGAAATGCTTGTATTCAGCCAGTGTCCTGTGTAAACTCCGTAGCTTAGGAACAGACACCCACTGATATTTAAAGGCTTTCCCCTTACAACATGTCTCCCAGAAAAATCTACCTTGTTTAATCATTTGTTTTTCTACTTAACTTGAGATCAGTCACGTTTCTTCACCATAATCCATGGATGTGGCTGATGTTCAACAGTAGGGCAGAGAGAGAGAGAGAGAGAGAGAGAGAGAGAGAGAGAGAGAGAGAGAGAGAGAGAGGGAAGGAGGGAAGGAGGGAGGGAGGGAGGGAGGGATGGGGGGAGGGATGGAGACTGAGTATCTCACTTTAAATCATGACATTAGTCTGTATTCTATATCACCTCCTTCCCTGAGAACTTGCTGCCGAGATGGAGCACTGTACACAATTTACTTAGACGTTTGCAAGAGGACGCAGGGAAAGCAGGCCAGCACGGTCGCACAGCTGCTGAACACTTAGCATTCAGGGTTTGCTCTTCATGTTACCACCACAGCCGCCCGTGGACCACAATAAGATCGTCTACAGAGGAGAAGCTGTGCTCATGAAAGTTATCGATGAGGCAGTAGAAAAATCAGAGTCAGGGGATGTTCGGTAACAGAATTGATTGTCAGGCCACAGAACCAGGAGGGACAGGAGTGGGAGCAGCTGAGCCCAGTGCAAGGCCTCTGTTGTTGCATTCTTTCTTCTGTGTGTTTGCAAGTACGGTCTCTAAAGCCTGTAAGTATCACAGTATTTCCTTAAAATAAAAGTCAGAGTTTCCATTGCAAAAAGAATTTTTTATGTAAATAAAAGGCAAGCAAGGCAGTCGTGGTGCACGCCTTTAATCCCGACACTCTGGAGGCGGTGACAGGCGGATCTCTGTGAGTTCGAGGCCAGCCTGGTCACAAAAACAGCCAGGGCTGTCACACAGAAAAACCCTGTCTCCACCCCTCCACCCCCCAAAAGAAAGTAAATAAAAGACAAATTGGAGTTTATATATCAAAAAAGTAGAAAGATTTTGTGAGAATCTGAACTATCAGTTTTTAATTCTTAACCCAGTTAAAGAAACCTGGGGGATTGTCATGAGTGACTTAGTTTATTGCTTAGTGGCATTTTGGAATATGCCTGAATAAGGCTTGCAGAGTGCCAACAAATCCAATAGGGTTGCTGTTTGCACGGCTCATATTTCTGGACACATTCTTTTCTCACTGATTGACGGAGGGCCCATTGAAAAAGTGTCGAGGGGAAACAATTAAGGAAGACAGTGGGATCAATCTTTGGTCTTTACCCATAAGAGCACACAGAAGAAAATTCATACATGCACACACACACACACACACACACACACACACACACACACACCATTAAAAAACCATCTGAAACAAGTTGTGTTGATTTAATGAAGAACCCTCTTTGTGGACCTATTAGAAACGCCCCTAGACTGTGGGCAGATGTCAGACTCAGCCACCTGCCAGATCATCTTTTCTCGGGATAGCTCAGGAGAATACAGCGACCAAGGTGTCTATGGCACAGTCAGAGATGAGTGACTTCTGTAATGGAAGGTCTCAAAATGAAGCCGTGCAATGGAAAGACCCCAGCCATCTGGGACACAAACCTTGCCTGAATTTATCGAAGGGACATAGATGTTTAATTTAGAAGTGATAAACTTTACGCCCGTCCTTCTTTGCCCTCTGCTGCTAGGAGAAACAGCATAACCAAAGGCAGCGCTCGGGAGGAAAGGGTTTATTTGGTTTTATTTCCACATCACGCTCCATCATCGAGAGAAGTTAAGGCAGGAATTCAAGCAGAAAGCTGAAGGCAGGAACTGAGGGCAAGACGGTGGAGGAGTACAGCTGCTTGCTTTCTTACGTAACCCAGGGCCATCTGCCTAGTGGGGGCATTGCCTACAGTGGGCTGGCCTCTCCCACGTCAATTAGCAACAAAGGAAAATGAGCTGCAGGAGTTCTCGCAGGCGAATCTGATGGAGGTGATTCCCTCTTCCCAGGCATGCCCAGGTTTGTGTCATGTTCATAAAAACTAACCAGCGTAAGGCAGCTTTCCACCCCAAGCTTGCCAGAGGTTGAGGCTGACACAGATGGAGAAATGACATGCCTCTGTACCCTGAGGATGGAGGCTGTAGGGACAGGGCTATGAGGCTTTGGGCTGTTGGAAAGAATGCCCAAGTGCTCAGAGCAGTTCCTGTGGCAGAGGCAACAAATTACAGAGTCAGAAAAGCATGGGTTTAAATACCTGTTTCACATGCTGATTCTAAGGGCTTAACTACGTGTTTAACCTCTCTGAGATACTTCCCTGTCTGGTAAGTAGGGAAAATAATATCTACTTGCGGGGTATTATAATGATCAAGGGGATAAACATCTATAAAGCGATAAGGGTGTGGACTGCCATCAACAATGCCTCAAAGAATAGGGGTTTGATTCTTTCTTATACCGCCACCCCCCCCCAAATCCTCATCACACTGCTATTTAAATTGTCAGAAGTATCCACGATAGAATTCCTGGCTTTGGAAGTAAGAATTTTAGCCTTCACACGAGGTATTTAAAGAGCCGTGCAAGGTTTAAGGACAGTGGGCTCAAAGTCCTCTAGGCCCTGCTTGAATTTAATCTCTACCAGCTTTGCTATTCTCCGTAAGACATTTGAATGAACTTCAGTTTTGTTATCTTGGCTTACAGTAATAGAAAGTTTTCCAGGCAATAAAAGAAGTTTGTTTTCTATAGACCAGTAAGTGAAACAGCCATCAAAGCAAGACTGTAATTCCCAGCTCTAGCTCCATTCTAAAAGTTTTACAGCTATTAACTTTCTTTAGTCTTTATGATAACACTGAAAGGCGAGTATCACTGGTAACGTTATTTTGCAGATAAAGGAATTGAGGCCATGTTAAATCTTGTGTGCAAGGTCACACGGTATTATAAAGGGCCAGGCAGCAAGTAGGGGCACACAAAGCGTGATGCCTGGGACTCAGCCAAGAGCTTTTCCAGAACCATGCCTGGCGTTACTGGCTCACTACTTCCCCATTCGCCAAAGACCTCTTAGTGAACATCAAATCAGTGGGGACAGCTAGAGTCTGGAGTTTAAATGCAGATCCACCAGGACTGAGTGTCAAATCATCTGTGTTCTGAAAGAGGCACACAGTTGTGCACTCGTCTTTAAAAATGACCCCTTCTCCATCTGAGACGGCTCTTGCACCACAGCAGGGTAGAGTAGCTAGCAACATCGTGACGTGGTGTCTTACAGCTAGAAGGTTCCACAGTTCTGCGGCACTGTACAAACAAAACCAGCTCCTTGCTGAACTTTAAGTGGTCAGGTTTGCAATTTGTAGAGTGCTCCTCCTTTGAACTGACTAAGAGATGAAAGGTCAGTAGACTTACCCCATGTGTCCTACAGGAAAGCCTCCTGCCTGTAAATATCTAGGTTTAAGCCAGGCGGTGGTGGCACACACTTTTAATCCCAGCACTCGGGAGGCAGAGGCAGGCGGATCTCTGTGAGTTCGAGGCCGGGCTGGACCGACAGCCTCAAAAACAATACAGAGAAACCCTGTCTCGAAAAACCAAAAAAAAAAGTATATATATATATGTACCTATATATATATAGGTTTACCCAGTAAGGAGACGCAAACCGCGACTCAACGATCCCATGTGGAGTTTTATTGGCGGACAGGGAGGGAAAGGGGGGTGAGGGGTAACCAACCCGTGAAGAGCTGAGAAAAAGAGAGAGATAAGATATGAGAGAGAGAGAGAGAGAGAGAGAGAGAGAGAGAGAGAGAGAGAGACAGGGAGAGAGGATGAGATGATGAGAGTAAGAGAGAAGATGAGATGGAGAGGAAGACGAGAGTAAAAGATAGTGTCAGCGGGCAGGGGTCAGTTTAAAGGGGTCCTTTGCACCTGCATGGTTCTCACAGAACTCTGGGCTGGTCAGAGTGCTGCCAGCCAGGTAACAGGACAGGCCAGCGCAATGCCTGAACCTTTCACTGCCCCTTTCCAAAGGTTGTGACTGAAACCCCCCACTGGAACAGTTTCTCTGGGTATTGAATGTGCTTTCTGATAAACAGTTGAGGAAGGTGAGGAGACCAAGGGTGAGAGGGAGGCAATCTCTAAGTTTTGGGAGGTATTAATAGGTAATAAAACAAAGGGAGCAAAAATGTCAGTTGTATTTATTTTGTCAAGCAAATGGAGTTTGGAAGGTCCCCTCCTACCTCAGGCCTGCCGAGGTGTGCCTGGAGGTGAGAGACTCCTGAATCCTGAAGAAGAAAACTCTGCCTTTGAGAAGCATCCTTAACTCAAGTTAGCCAGCAAGAGGAAAAGGTGAGCAGAGCAGGACCGTGCTCTGTGTCAAGCACCGTGCGCCAAGTGGAATCCTCTGGAAAACGAAATGACCGGTCAAGAAAACGCTCCAAAGACACCGAGTCACGTGCTACAAAGCTGGGTGCCACAAGGACCTGATAAAAGTGAGTCAGAATGGGTCAAGATGAGTCTGGGTCAAGATGACGGAGAGGAGGCTACACGCATGCCTGTATGCTATAGCGATGTCTTAAGGACACATGCATGCCCACACGCAGATACATACACATGCCAGGGGTTTGTTGGCAAAAGATAAACATCCGTAGAACATCTGTCAAACGCCTTTTCCCGTTTTCCTTTGGCACTGCAGACTGAGCTCGGTGCGTCTTGCATCGTAAGCTGGCACCGGGGTTACCACGGAGCAGCACCCACAGCGTCCTTCCTGACCCATTACACAGAAGAGGGCTTCCCTAAAGTTCAGTATGGAGTTGATTCTGTAGCCAGAGGCTGATTCAGAGCCAAAACAGTTTCTAGTGATCCCCCACCCCCACCCCAAACTGACTTGGAAGTGATGGATCCGTGTGAGAGCGATCACAGCTTTGGGGTCTCTGGATTCTTGTCCCAGAGGAGACAAAAAAACAAAAACAAAAACAAAAACAAAAACAAAAACAAAAAAACGCTGTGAAACTCCCCAGTCCTGGCATGCAGTGCGGGCGCTCTTCGGGACGCACTTTGACTGCAAGTTGGGGCAGGATGCTAAGCAGGGAGGACAAGAGAGCGACATTTGCCAAGTTCCTCTCCAGAGGGTGGAGTGACTCAAGCGCTTTTAGGGAGGCAGAGCCAGGAAGGGTATGTCTGACTCAGAGAAGGCCGGGATAAGTGACTTTTGTTACATAACACTAAGCGGTTGGAGACTTGCTGCACAGGAATGTCCTTTGTACACACTTATGATGGGTTGGAAAAGATTATTTTTTTAGAGTGTACTTTAGGAGGCCAGCTACAAAGAAGGCGTCCTTTTTTCCTCTTCTTTTCTTTTTCGTTTTGGTTTTGTCCAAATGACAAATCAAATCTACCATGGAACGGTTTTAGTAGATTCTTTGGGTGCCACCTAGTGGTAACATGGAGGAAAGCAACGGGGAGTTACTGAAAATTGACAACAAATTATATTTCCTAGGTAAGAAAAATTGTATCGTGGAAAGCTGACTGTGAAGGAAAAATCACTAATGTCCATTGGTACAAACCAGGTATTCTGGAGAAGCGTGGGAACCCTGGTCTCTAACAACTGCTTAATCTCCGCTGGTATACTGTGTAAACTGCATGTGAACCTATTTAAAATAGCAAGAAAAAAATGTAAGCAGCAGCAGGTAATTGCAGAGGCTGTCTGCGTTTCACGCTGCAGGTAATCTTGCCTACTTACACTTAAAGTATGTGGTAGCGCAGTCTCGAGAGAATGTTAAGCAGTATCAGAGTGCCTTTCCACACAGCCCTGTCTTACTGCGTCATCTTCAAAACTATTTTGAACATACACTGCAGAGTTTGAAATGGGCATCAAAAACCGACAACCACAACGCAAAGAAAAGCAAAACCTACAGATATTCAGGCTCCAAGACTGGTATATTTCACTTTGCCACATCTACTTACTTTGCACGCTCGCGATGAAAGAGGAGATACTGCCATCACCCCTTTCCGAAGAGCTGTGTGATGCCTAGCCTGTTGACAGCGTTGTTAGGGTCACATTAGCTGGCTTATGTTGGATGTGCACTTACTACCCGCAAGACTGAGAAGAGAGGGGAAAAAAGATTGAGAAGAGATCTTCTAAAGCTGATGCTTTCCGCCCCCCAGTACCAAGGAGCCTTGGGAGAAATGCTCCTTTCTCTGTTCATTCAAGTTGGTTTCAGGATCTGGGATGCTTGGAACTTTTGCAGTCATCTGCAGCTGTGAAGTACAGGAGCAGAGGCTGTGAGTGGCGGGGTGATTTTCAACACGGATCCCATCAACCAATCAGAAGCTGTCCCGCCTTCAATTTGTTACCCCACACATCACAAAATCTCTCCTTTTAAAATACTTCCTTTCTGCTGGTGTCGACTAATTTTAGGATGAGTCACCACAACGCCATTATTTCCTTTGCTATCGTTTCTTTTCTTTTTCTTTTTTTTTTATGAGACAGGGTTTCTTTGTATTGTTTTCGAGGCTGTTGGTCCAGCCCAGCCCCGAACTCACAGAGATCCGCCTGCCTCTGCCTTCCGAGTGCTGGGATTAAAGGCATGCACCACCACCGCCCGGCTGCTATCGTTTCTTAATGGAAAATTTGAAAAGTAACCATTCTCTTTATCTTTCATAAGAAGTCCTTAACAGTTATTAGCTGTTTTTCTTGTTGTTGTGACAAATGAAACTTAGGGGAGGGACTTGCTTGGTTTATGGCTTGAAGGGCATAGTCCCTCATGGCAGGGAAGGTACAGGGTGAGCATTTGAGGCAGCTGGTCACATTGCACCAAATTTCAGGAAGCAGAGGGAGAATTCTGATGTCCAGGTTGCCTTCTGTTGCTTCTCTCTGTGTTCACTATAGGACTCCAGTCATGGGATAATGGTACCACACAATTTCAGGATGTGTGTCCCCACTCAGTTAAACCTCTCTGGATGCCCCCTTCATCCTCCCGTCTCTCTCTCTCTGTCTCTCTCTCTCCTTCTGTGTGTGTGTGTGTGTGTGAGAGAGACACAGAGAGAGAGAGGCAGAGACAGAGAGAGAGAGACAGAGAGAGACAGAGAGAGAGAGAGAGAGAGAGAGAGAGAGAGAGAGAGAGAGAGAGAGAGAGAGAGAGAGAGAGAGAGAGAGATGTTTCCCTGGTATTTCCAAATAGAGAAAAGCGGACAATCAAATTTAATCACCAAAAGTTAAGTCCTTGTCAAGTTGACACACAAATACACAACTTAGCAATTTCATTCTTGCCCTGTTTTAAAAATGCCCATGGCCCATCTCATATTTCTGGATACATTTAGTTTGTCTTTGAGAACACCCCAAATCTTAATATTTCTAACATGGTCCAGGAACTCAACGTGAAAAGTCTCCCGTGAAACTGGAGAATCACCCATGGGCGCCACAAAGAAAATAAAGAGCAGACACACACGTCCAGTTTACAGTTTATATTCTTATTCCAAAAGGAAGGAATTCAGGTACAGTAAGACGCTAGACTGTATCAAAGCAAGGTTGAACATAACCAGGTGAACATCAATCACCACAGGGCAATGACTGCCATCTGGAGCTCCTGAGGGTAATCACCTGGGCTCAACAGACTTGAGTATCCTTGCCATAATGGCTCTCCTAGCTGTATCTCCCAGCATTCCTCTTTGGGGCTATATCCATTCCATGGCATCATGTCTGCCATGGTTCTGGCATCTCCAACACCCTGGGATCTCCATTGCAACTTGGCTTCACTTTTATAACCTCCCACTCTGGCCTCTCTGCACTGATGTGGTCTGCATCCTTAGACTTACTCATGCACCTTTTCTCAAAGGAAGAAAGAAAGAAAGAAAGGGAGGAAGGAAGGAAGGAAGAAAGAAAGAAAAAAAAAGAAAAAAAGAAAGGAAGAAAGAAAGAAAGGCACACTGTAATTTTTGCTCTCTCTCACTGTAGACCTGACCAAAAGCAACTAGTTGTGACATACAGTAGCCAGGATGCTTTGTTATCTTGAGATTGCCAAAGAACGTATCCATCACACCTGAATTCAGATGCTTCAGCCCTCAGGACACAGGCAGAAGCAACCTTTAATCTCTGAGAAGGTAACACAGTATCTGCTATGATTCTCAGTGCAGTCCTCATTCTCCTATGAAACCCCGTGATTCCAGTCTCCACTCTCTTCTGTTGGCATTCATTCTAGAATTCCCCACTCCCACCAGAGTGGCCCTGAAGCTGCGACAGTCCTTTCCTGGTGCACTGTCTGCATCTGGTAACAAATACGGAGAGGTTTTCACAGGCTTCACCTCCTAACACCGTGTCAGACAAATGCGTCAAGCTATAATTCCTAGGCTTTTGCAACGAGCTCTTGACAGAGGTACATTGATATTCCTATTCCATAGATAAGAATCTGAAGCTGATGGGAAAGTCAAATGATACAGGTGGTTGATAAACAGCTTAGCACAACAGACACATGGTAATGCATTCTGGGTATTGACCACGGATGAAGCTTGCCTTCATGTAAAACACGTGTATGCAAATATTCATAGTGGTTTTATTTATAGCACCGTAGAAGCATCCCAGCTGTTCCTTTACAGGTGAATGGTTAAACAAATTGTGATGTAGTCATAACTCAAAAAAGTTAAGTTGAGTGAAACCCCCCCTCAAGTTATGTGCCGATTTGGTAGACACACCAGCATATGAATGCAATAAATTGTGTAGAACTAAGCACACACAACTAATTCCAAATAAGTCTAGGGAAACATATATAAAACACATGGATGGCATAAGCATTAGTAGCCTGGCTGCAATATTGTAGTATGTTCTTGAAAGGTGTAATTCTTGGAAAAATAACTGAATGGTACATGAAATTCTTATAATTGAATGTGAATCTAGGAATATATCAAGATAAAATGTTTAATTAAAAGTAGGTGTCCCTGGGAAGTACATGGAAAGAAAAGAGAATCCACTCTCAAAAATTGTCCTCTGACTTCTCTGCCTGAGTGTGCTGCGGATGTGTACCTCTCCTCACACAAACTAAGAAACTGTATGCAATAAAAAATCCAGCTAATGACTAACATAAATATATCATGCTAGTAAAAATTAAAAATCTATCTACAAATAAATCTAGCCAAGGAAATGAAAGAATTTTTCAGTGAAAACTACTGAGGAGGACACAGAACACAGAAAGACATCCCATGCTTACAGGTTGGGGGAATTAATACAATTAAAGGGTCTACTTTACCCAAAGCAATCTAAAGTTCAATGTAATTTCCTCACAGAGAAGAAAAAACAACCCTGAAATCCATATGGAAACAAAACAAACTTAAGCAAAAAGAACAAAATTGGAACTAACAGCACACATAATTTCCTATCCACAAAACATGGTACTGCACATAGCAAGCGTGTGCATTAGCAGAGAAGAACTCAGAAGTAGCTCCAAGTGTTTGTAGTCAACTGGCTTTCAGACAACAGTCTCAGGAACTGACATCAGAGGAAAGAATTTCCCCAGCAGAGGTCCGGTCAGACTGGATATCTACACAGAGGTGAGTCAAAGCAGGTCGCTTCCTCAAAGTCTACAAAAGTCAGTTTGAAGCAGACCGAAGGTTACACGTGAGCCGGAAACCCAGAGTTGCTAGAAGATGGTTGTGCTTACGGTACACGTCTGGGAGAAGTTTTAGATATGACTGTGAAAACCCAGGCAGCAAGAGGCTTGGCAACTGAGATTATATAGAACCAAGACATTTCCTCCCAGCAAGCAAAATTATCCACAGAGTGGAAGCAGCAGCCAGCGAAAACGGGAGAGATTATCAGTACTCTGTTTACTGGTAAAAGGTTTACATCCAGCACTTAAAAACCTCCAACTGTCATAGTTACCACCATCACCTGTGTCGCCGATGTCATCATCATCCCTACCACTGCTTCTGTGTAGCTTTCATCTGTTGTAGCCAGTTAGCCTCTGCACAGCTCATCCTCTTTGTGCACATTTTGTCAAAGACATCGCGTGGCAAAACATATTTTGATCCCATCGCCTGCCGGTTTTTAGAAATATACCTAAGTCACACTAATTATTTCCTACTTAAAATACTGCCACCATGGGTTTATTCCACCTTCGGTTTGCGCAGTGCAGAGGGCATGTGCCTTGGGAAACAAATCGGTTTGCAACCCCGATTTCTTCTAGTACGGCCCTAAGAAGTCCAAGCCCAAGCCACACAGCTTCCTCTTCTTTGTCTCTTTCCCAAACGAGCTCTCCAGACTCCGTATGCTCCACAGTCAATTTTGTTCAACCTGCCTCAGCTGTTTCTGTTGATAGAATACACCCAAAGCAAGATCTGCCTCTACCGTTGCCATGGAGATGCCGTCTTATTTTTGTAATCTTTCTTCATCATGCTAGGCATCCATTCAGGTCTGTAAATGCTCTGTGTCCTGATTTCACGTATCTAACAAAGAAGACTCTCTGCAAAGTTAGCCTTTGTCCCTTTCTGTCTACTGCAGTAACCTTGCACTCTTGGCTGATGTACACATGACTTCTTCCAAAGCTTTCTCCATCCTTCGATCTGGAAGACACTACATAGAATAAATGGAATAGTTAGCAAATGGTCCCCTCCTCTACAGTCCAATTTCTCCAGCGGTGAGTTGTGACCGTAGGTGGCCTTGTATAACAGGCTGGGAAGAGTCATGAAAAATTTGTCAACAGAAAAAGTTTCTGAACATGCAATGGCCAAAAATTAATTCAAATATCAAATGTGTCATGAACGCAACGGGATTGTGCCAACTCTCACCCATGTTGTGTTGTGCAGCTTCACAGAGCTTTCTTCTGATCATGTGACACATACATGTTGTACTGCACACTCAGACACATCATGTAGTATCAACAGACACTGTCTGACATACCTCAGCTCAGCTCAGGTTCCAGACTACTGTGAGTACATTGCAGTAATTTTGCAGTATCAAGTTTTTCCACTCTTTGGAAATATAACAGTTTAATTAAGAAAAACAAAGACTTCTAATATTTTCCTAATACCATCCCTCTCTATCTTTGGGCTGTGTTTCTTGAGGATGTTTGATTTTTGAAGATTGTTGTTTGAGGTGCTGACTTGAGTTTC